ATGGATCTCATGTGATGAACGGTTAATGGGAAACTTCAGGATGAGCTATCAGGTGGTCATCACCTAAATGCATCTATCAACTGTAGCATCACTAAAAGCAGAACAGCCAGATACCGTGGGTCTTCTGAGGTGTTTCACAACAAAGCCTGTGGCACCACCTTTGGGGTGCTGTTACCTAAAAAATGAAGTTGAATCTATTCAAGCCTCTGGAAACAAGGAAGAGGGGGAAGCAAGCTGAAGGACACTCCAAGGAGCCAAACAGACACACCTAGAATGTTGAGGAGCTTGTAGGAAATGGGCTTAGTTACTGCAACAAGTCAATGGCATGAAAAACAAACAGATAAAAACGTGGAATGGGAAAAAAATCCACATTAAAATAGATGTAAAAGACTAACAACTGAATGTAACTTGTGGGCCTGGTCTGGATCTTGATTTGGACAAAGAACATGTTTAAGAAATGGGTATGGAAATCCCAGCACAATAACGTGCTATCTGAAACTGGCTTTAAAAGAATTCAACAGAGGGAAGGGGAGCAATAGATAAAGCCAATGTGGCAACAGCTTTCATAAGTATTGAATTGGAGTGAACATCTTTGGCAGATACCCCCTAGAGGCCTGCCCGTTTGCAGATACCCCCTAGAGGCCTGCCCGTTTGCCGACCATTAGGAGCAGCAGTGGGTTTCTAAGGTGGCAGATAGATGGTTACTTGCATCGTGAAATCTGTTGGATGAGCCTGAGGCCCAGAGCCGATGGAGGGGATTTTTAGGGGATCAGACTGAGTTTTTGTCTTTATGCTCTTGGGCATCAGTGCCAGGATGCAGGAGCCATGCCCCAGCTGGCCCAGGGAAGCAGTGGATTCCCAAAGGCAGCCTGGGCTGGTAGTTCCTCAGGTCTCAGTACCAGTGCTTGCCTGTTGTGATAAAAATCTCTGTGCAGGTGGAAGGGTGTGTCACAAATACAGATTCCTGAACCTCACCCCTGGGGATTCTGATTCACTAAGTTAGAGGCTGGGCCAGGAAATGTACATTCTTGACAGGCTCCTGTAGAGATTCCATGGGCATCCAGGTTGGGGATCCAGAGTTCTAAGTGATTCTCGGTGGGCTGGCCCCGTTATCCCCAAGCCTCGTGTGCTCATTCTCTCATCTCTCTCTCCAGGGCCTGCCCATAAACCCGGTACAAATAAGTTATAGATAAGTACTAGGGATGTAATATACATGATAAATATAATTAACACTGTTGCGTGTTATATATGAAAATTATTAAGAGAGTAAATTCTGAGTTCCCATCACAAGGAAAAAATTTTTCCTATTTCTTTAATGTTATATGTATATGAGATGATGGATTTCACTAAACTTACTGTGATAATCACTTCATGATGTATGTGAGTCAGATCATTACGCTGTATCCCTTAAATTTAAATAGTACTGTATGTCAATCATATCTCAATAAAACTGGAGGGAAAAAATGACACTATCCATTGAATACAAATTAATAATTGTGATTAAAAAAACATAATTAGACCTGGGATAAATGAGATGATACAGGATAAAAACGTTATCAAACTGAAAAAGAAGCTAGACATTTCAAGAGCTTGTTTTTACATGTGAATCAAGTCAATGAAATTGCTGCAAAATGCGGTTATGAATTTGATGTCAGAGCATTTAAACCTTTTATAGATGACGGCTTTATAAAAGCATCTCTTGAACATAGTAAATGATATCTTTTTGTACTAGCAATTGAGAAACACTGGAGCTCAGCTTGTACAGGATAGGACTGGCAAAATTAGAGGAACAATTTGTTGGGGTCCCCAAAGAGGCTCCCATTAAATTTCACTCCTTTTTTTCACCTAGGTTCTAAACAAGATGAGACACAAAATAAAGATTAAAGATGGAGTCCAAAATGTCATCTTCCCAACTGACAGAGATACAGTTGAGGTGGTGACTTAATGGGGAACCAAATTGAGCCTACAGCCTGAATCGAGTTCCAGTCCCCACCTGGTCGCAGGCCAGCAAACTGCCACTATGAAAGAGCAAAGGAAAGCCTGTGCTGCCTGCAGGCAGGTTCTGTTCAAGGGAATGAAAGACAGCCAGAAGCCAAAACATGTCCAGTTTATCTTCCCAAATTTTCAAATCAGGTAAGTCACTCTAAAGTCACCACAGGTGTGTCCTGTGGCTGAGATCATAGGTCTGAACAGTGCCTTCCAGTTAGCTCTACCAATGCATGATGATGACGAGAATTTATTCTTTTTGGAAGGGGGAGGTAATTAGGTTTATTTGTTTGTTTGTTTATTATTTTAAGGGAGGTACTGGGGATTGAACCCAGGACCTTGTGCCTGCTAAGCATGCGCTCTACCACTGAGCTATACCCTCCCCCCATAACGAGAGTTTATATGGGACCAAAGAATTCTTAGGTGTGACACCTGTGACAGGAAAAGGTTTGGTTTTATGTGCTGTCTGGTGTACGCCTACACGGGTGAGACTCACTGTGACCTCTGATGGTGTTCTTGTGAGGGACAGAGCAGTGTCAGGTTTGCTTCCGAGCTCACTCTGTGGTGGTAAAATGTTCTGCGTTCGTGGAACGTGCAGATAGAAGCTGTTGAACTACAGTACAATGAGGCAGCCCAGGTGTGTGTGCCAGTGTCGGAATACCTAACTCTGTAAGTCTCTTGGGAGTAGTTATCCTAAATATAAAAATAGGCACCTCCATTTGTAAACAGTTGTTTTCATTATGAAATAGAACTTAAGTAATCTCCCTTAGAAGACTCAGTGGGGAGGACAAGGAGATAGCATTTTGGTGCATAAGGAACTGTGAATATTCTGTGGTTCTAATGAAAGAGGAATGAATAGCTCCTCTATGTACAGGGGGCCTGGTAGCCTCTTCTCAGCCCTCGAGAATTCATTCACTAGGGCGGGTTCCCACGGCACGCGGAACTTAAGCTTACACTGGTTGGATTTTGAATTGCAAGCCCATTTGAGCTAATGCATCCGAGAGGACCCAGGGCTCTCACAGAGTCCCAAGACAGGCATGCAGCTGGGTCTCCAAAAAGGGCTGCAGCCGGCAGCTGGGTGGCCACGGAGCCCAGAGGATCCTTTCGTTGCCTCTCCTCTTGGTTTCTCTCTAACGGTCCTTTCATTCTTTCTTGGCAAACTGCCTCGCTCTGCCGCTTGCCTGCAGGGTGGACAGAAGATGGCTTCCCACTCCACTCAAGTGTTTGTGGTTGAGCCATGTGGAAAAACCGACTCTCTCTCAGCCCTTCTCCCTCCCTCCTCCTCTCCATCCCTCCCACCCC